CGGTATCCTAACATTAGATCCGGCCCTACTCTACACTCTGCTGAACATGTCTGAGACACATAGGGCAGTGGCCCTTTGGCATACAGTTATCCATTTATTTGGATTGCATGTTTGTCAAAAGATGGAATTGTAAAAAATATGTTCTTTCTCTTTTCGTTTTTCGCAGACTGCAAGAACAAAGAAGAAGTTTAAAACTAGCAGACAAACGATGATGCTCATGTTACTAACACAAAATTCAAGGGACTTACAAAGTGGTTTCCAACTTGTGGAAGAATGTCATTATAACCAACTTTTAAATGTGAAACAGAAGGAATAACTTTCAAAGTCTCAAGTAATAATTGCCTTCTAGATTCAAATATATCCTCGGAAAAAACTAACTGTTCAGCAGGAACGATGGTGGGTTCTCCTTAAAAAATAATTTCGATACAAGCAATACTAGTTAACATAGAAATTGCCATGAACAAAAAAGCAACAAAAAACAGCACACAACTCCCCCTCCATCCTCCCCCCTCCCCCACCCCCCAAACAATGAAACAAATCATGGCAGACAAAATAAGGGATTCATAGCTCCGCTGCTGTACGGCATGCAAGAAACACCAGCTCTATAAATGAAAGCAGATTACCTCTCTAAGTCGCGAAATCCAGTTTCTTTTCTCAACACTTGGATTATCAATTTCCGGCTTCTTCAACTCCTCATGTAAAACTTCATCAACAAACTCAGGATTGGAGGCACCTGGAGACGATTCTTCATTCCTAAAGCATGAAATTTTCCACCTCTGCAAAATTGTCAAGTATCTAAAGTCTAGAAATGTACATAACTGAGTAGCATAAGAAACCATTAAAAGACATTGAATATACTGGATAAATAATTAAAAAAAGTTACATTCAATCTACTGATAGTACCCCATTACTTCAAAACAATTACTAAAGCTAACTGCGGAAAAATAAAGCTGAGCGTGTACACCACGTCACAAACCATAAAAACACCAACCTAGCTTGCTTATGATAAACTACCATCTTGGAGTAAGAACAAGAATAACAAAACACAACTCTATTAGCATCCAAAAAAAAACATCAATCGCCACGTGAATCTGTCCAAGGGAAATGGACTCTCCATCTATGAAACACCCAGATGTGTACAGATACAACATCACTAGTAAAGGTTGAAACTTTGCGGTAGGCAACCTTGGGCATCGCAGTAAACATAAACCCACCCCACAACTAAAACACTAAGAATACACAAACTACACTTCAGAAATACAGAATAGTGAATAAAGAATGTTCAAAAAGATCATTGTGGTTGCAATGCAGAATCACTATAAAGGTTGAAAGTGTAAGGTAGAATCACCAAAAACCCACTACCAATACTACAAAAATCCACAACTATAAATTCAACAAATTAAACTCTAAAGATACAAAATAATCATAAGGATTGGAACTTTATGGCAAGTACAGATTGAATTGCTAAAAAAAGAACAGAAAACATAAATACTACCAAAGCCCATAGCTACAAACACAAAGATTTAACAAATTAACCTCTAAAGATACAAAATAATCATAAAGATTGGAACTTTAAGAAAAGTAAAGACTGAAATATAACATTAAATACCTACACTACCAAAGCCCACAACTATAAACACAAAGATTCAATAAATTGAGCTCCAATAATAATAAAGATTGGAACTTTATGGCAAAAAAAGATTGAATTGCTAGAAAAAATGTTACCTTGGTAGAAATCCGGTGATGGGGTTCAGAGATTTTGACTCTATGTGGAAGTGAGGGTAGAGATTTGGGGGAAAATGTGGAAACCCTAAATTTAGGAGCTGAAGTTGAAAGGAGAGGGCGTTGAGGAAAAGAGTGAGTATAATTGGAGCTCAGCATGAGACCAATTTGATTATTGTAAAGATATGAAGCTCTAATTTTGTTAGCAAATGGAGGAATTGAATACATTGGATTTGTGCATTTTTCATCTACTTTGCTTCTTCCTCGAAGCACCAAAAAAAACCCTAGTGGTTGGTTTTCAATTAATTTTGAGATTGTAAATTTTTCTTCCTTTTTCTTTTTCTTTTTCTTTTTTTAATTAATAATATGTCTGATATGCAAGTTGACGTTTTTGACGGTTGACGTGAGGAAGAGAATCTATTGGATTCTATTATCGTTTGGTACAGTAGGGAATATTGTCCCTTTCCGTATTTCCTTTTTTTAAATAAAAATATATATAGTGTTTTCTGTTATTTAAGAAAAAATAATATTGTATAATAGTTTTTAAAATAATAATAAAAAATAAATATTTTATATATATATATATATATTACAAAAAAATTATATATTTTTATGATTATTGGATATAAAATAATTTCGATCGTGGGTTAAAAGTGATCTTTGCGAATAACAACTAATGCATAGTTGTTGACTTGTTGTTTGCTATAGAGCTTCTTTCCTTATTTCTATTTATGTAATTGTTGATACGGCCTCTTATTCACATTATTTGTCTTTTAAAAATTGCTTAAGAAAATATTTTAATAATTTCAATAACCATTTTTTGTAAACGTCGAATATTTTAAAATAACAACAACAACAACAACTACCCAGTATAGTCCCATAAGGTGGGGTCTGGGGAGGGTAATACGTACACAGGCCTTACCCCTACCCGAAAGGGCAAAGAGGCTGTTTCCAATCGACCCTCGGCTCAGGAAAAGGAAAAGGAAAACAAAAACAAAAAA